GAAAGCTCATGATTGAATAATATAAAGCACACCACGGGATACGCGAGTGTATAGTGAATTACGCATACGGAGAGGGGGTTGTTATATAGTCACATTTCGTTTCCCTTTACTCACCTTCACCCTTTTTCTCGTGTATATTTTATCTTTTTCACCTCTTGTTTTTCTTTTTACTTTTTTCTTTATCTTTTTATTTTTTTCCAATCGTAAACGCGCGACTCGTTACAAATAATAATCGTAACTCGATGTCAAATTTGTTCCCTCTCGCGAATGAACAGTTTTTCTTCCACGAGTTTTATTCGATGACAAGGAAATATCGGATGAAATAGTGGGGTTGGAGAGGAAAGGCAGGGGTGTGAAGAAGGTGACGCGTTTTTTATCTCTCTCTCTCTCTCTCTCTCTCTCTCTATCTAATTCTTCCGTCGATTGGCCACTTCCGTGCAAACACCAGTTCATTCTGGCCAACCTTTAAAAAGCCCCCCCCGGAGCGAATTGCCTTGCAAAGCTCATCATCATCGCCTTCACTATTACTTTAGGCATTTTCTACTTTGGAAAAGAGGAATTTTCAGTGAACATACGAATAGATAAAAAGAGAGAGAGAGAGAGAGAGAGAGAGAGTTGCACGCAAAAAGAAAGAAAGAAAGATTAAAAAAATTAATGGATTTAAATGCAAAGGGAAGAGAATATTAATAATATGAAAGATAAATAGGGGAAGGAGAATAAAACAAGAGGGCAAAAAAAAAAGATAAACAAAATTAACACCGTGACATTTCCGGATTGTTCGTGACCAACGAAAAGGTCAGCCCGTACTTTGCTTTTTAGGTGATAGAAAGAGGACAGGTGGGTGTGGGGAGGGTGGACCGGGAGGAGGAGGGGGCCAGGTTAAGTCTCAGGGGGAATCAACACAACGAACGCATCGATGAAGTTTATCACGATCGGAAAAAGATTATATATGATATGTAGGATGAAAAATTCAAAGACTTTTTTTTTAGTTCCTCCACTCCTCTTCTCTTTTCTTTTTTTTTCTTTCTTTCTTTCTCGATCGAGGAGGGGTGGGTATATACACAAACGCACGGGTATTACGCGTTACACGTTCGATTCGTTTTTAATTTTAATTGGTCAAATCCGAATTTCAAATCGTATTGATTGTGAGAGATGTTAATAATGTTATCGGTCAACGATGTGTGTGCAAGTTTGCATATTGATTATTACGATCGATTTATAATAAAACCCATCCACAGGATGAACTATTTTTTCCTTATCAAATCTATGAGATCGATCGGGAATGGTGATGGTGGTGGTGGGGTAGTGGTGGTGCTGGTTTTAAGGAAGGAAAGAAGGAAGGAAGGAAGGAAGGAAGGAGCCCAATATATTGGGTCGTCCGAAAAATTCGTGCTAATTTTGACAGAAGATTGAAACACACAATGCAACGCAACGCATTTAATTTTTTTAATATATTTTTATTAACCCTTCTTTGCATGATGATGGAAATTTCAATCATAATATTTAGTCAACAAAAAAGGTACTCAAAACCCTTGTACATACTGTATATTTGTTGTTGCTGGCAACTTTTTAAGCGACTATTGCATACAACAAAACGCAGCTGTCAAAAAATAGCACTAGGATTTTTTTAAATATTTTGCCTTTAATCTAGAGCATTAATTACATCACCCTGATTTATTTTAAAAGAAAAGAAAAAATCATGCAAAGAAGGGTTAAATTATATAAGTGTGTCATACCGTTTCACAATCTTTCTCAATCATTCAGGTAACTTGAAAATTTCGTTCTTCCATAGAACTTCTATCAAATTTTTGTCTTCTAATACATTAAGACACTCGTCTTTATATCACCTACCGAAAATCGGCACGAGCTTAGAGAAAGGGTAAAGCTTAATGGTTTAAAACGGTTCAACTCTCTAGCGTCACTCGACACACTTAGGATCGTTGAGTTGGCCGACTCTTAAAGGTTAACGTACGATGAAACACGCCGGTGTCTTGTTTACGAGTGAGGAACAATGAAGATTTTGGAAAAGGACATTCGAGAAAAGAATTCCCGTATAATAGATCTTCCATATACATATACATATACATATACATATATCTATGTAAAAAAAAGGGTGGGGGAGGGACGGGGGAGGGTGTAGGGCTAGGTTATTCCTTTCACCAAGAAATTCTCTCCACTCGTGTAATATTTTTCTCTCTGAAAGTTGATGTCACCCGTTACGAATCGATGTTTGCTGCTCTTTCACAATCAACCTGAGTACAACTTTTCTCTCTCTCTCTCTCTCTCTCTCTCTCTCTCTCTCCCCCTCCCTGTTCTTTTCTTGTTCTCTCAGTAACTCTGACGAGAGTGTCTCTCGTATTTTCCGAGAGTCCGTTATTGAAACGTCACAGAAGAAGAGGAAGAGGACATGGAAGAGGAGGAAGAGGAGGAGAAGGAGGAGAAGGACGAGGAGGAGGAAGAGGATGACGATGAACGAACGAACGAACGAACGAACGAACGT